AGAAATATGCTAAAACACACATGCAGGTGATTGCTGGATCAGTTGAAGGCTATATGTGTGTGTGTGTGCCACATAAATGCAATGTCATCACAGCTTTTAGTTGTTTATTTTTAATGTCCTTTGACCATGAATCACACACATGAACCTAAACACAGGCGCTAAAGCAATCACGGGGTTTGCTGTCTTATCTCCTGGCCTTGGTGGGGCCTGACTTCAGCAGGCCAAAGGAAGGCAGTGATCGCCTGTTGTTTCACTTATGCAGCATAAATCAAGGCTGTGACAGTTGCTGAACACTTTCTGTTTATGAAATGTCTATTTGTATTATACTCCCACAGCTGCACAATTGACTTTGAGGACAACTGTCAGTTGTCACTATTTCCAGGAATCAGGTATCACGTGATGTGACGATACCGAGAGAATAGAACCAGAAAAAGGGCTGTGCTTAACAGAAATAACACAAACGGAGAAAACCAGCTAGTTCAGCTAGTGGAGTTGATAATGACGTCATACCAGCGTTCACCACTTTGGAGCTGAAATTAGATTAGCTTATTGAGAAGGACTGGTATCAGAGACACAAATCGATGACAGCACATCATGCTATGGTTTGCAAATAATTACCACAGCAATATATTCACTGATATAGGTTACGCAACATTATGTGTGCAGGTGATTTATTGAAACGAGCTGATAAAAGGAGCTGATAGGACAACTTTACAGCAGCTGTCATCACCTTTTATACGTGAGACAGACATTTTAGAGCTTTTGGTTAGACATGTTTCTTCCCACTTTAATCTAAAAAAATCCAACTTTTGTGACGTTTCAGTAGATTTCTGCTATTGGGTGCTCTGAATTTCCCACCTCAGGGTTTGAATGTTTTATCACTATTAAGACCCAACCATTTGCCATGGCCTTAAAAAAGGCATTACTAATATCTTGTTGCTTGGCAAGTCTATTGAAGATGTTTAGTACAACTGGTAGGTGGATTTTGTTATCATATAGTACAATCTTTCAGTTGATAAGTTAATTGACCATCATGGAACAACTGATAGCCATTCTTTTGGATAGGAGACGTGAAAACAGCTTTTTACCAACATTAGTTGTATGTGCAGTGTTTGCTTTGCAAATGAAGGTATCATGAACAATAGGACACTTTAAGCTCTGTACAGGATTTGTTTCCTCCTAGGGACATCCATGAATTGAGACACTTTCATCCATTTCAGTAAGCTTAAGCATTTTCACATGTGTGTCGTAATTACATCCGGACAGATTAGCTGTCGCTTGCATAACAAAAGGCAAAAAGCAGAGGGATAACAGGATGCCGCAAATGATGGACACTTAAACTTAACTACCTGTCGAGCAACTCTAAGTTTTAATAAGGATATTTTGATTATTTAATCATGCTACATTTCAGTAGCCTCGTAGCTCTTGGTGATTGTAAACAACAACACTTGGATCTCTCATTAAAGAAATACTGTGACAAGTGGTCTGTTTAGACCACCGCTGATCATAGTAATGGCTATTATACACAATATTTTAACTGTGTATAAATTCTTGAGTAGATAAAAAAAAATTCGGAGAGAAATTCATTAGGTAAGCTTTCAAGCAGTAAGAGCCTTGGCAGCAAGGTCGAGGTTTTTGGAGCCTACGTTTATCTGACACTCAGGGTGTAAGCATAAACGCTCAGGCTCACACACTGTTGTGTTACATGAGAAGGACTCTTTCCAGGACAGTATTCCAAGCACTTGGCAAGTTGCGATTCCCACTGAAGAGTGTTGACAAGACTCTACTTAACTAGAGACTCCTCACTTATTAGCAGACAGCAATGCACACATGCACAAATCATCCGGGCTGACTGACTCAACGCCGCACAAAAAAAAGTAAATAAACAAGCTCTGAGGTCATTACCCGGTTCAAAGCTGAGGTGAAACCATTACACAATTTATGTATGTATGTGAGAACATAGAGACGTGCATCTTGAATTTGAAAGCCTGGTGCCACGCCCTTGAGGCAGGATTAAATATTTCCCAGCCAATCCCTGTTTATGCCATCACAGCATCAGCACAGAGAGAAAATCCTCTAAGCTTGTTTCAGGTCTGTTCACTGTGTCATCTGGACCCACCCTTTCTCATTTCCTCTTCGCAGAGATCCAATATTACCTTAGGTACGACCAGCATAAATGATCATGTGTTTTAAGTGGATACAATGTATTGGATTTTATTTTAGGCCTGTAAATGAGTAAATGGACGCAGCAGACCTTTGATCACCACAAACAGCCCTCTTTACATGTGTAAAAGCTATTACAGCTTTTGTATATGAGAGTAAAGGCTGTGAGTCAGCATGAAGGAATAGTCAGGAATGCCCTGGCAAGTTAATATCAAATAGTATTTTAGATCAAATGATTACTTCAGTGTCTAGAAGTTTAAGAAGGCTCAAAATGAACGCTAAACACTGAATCCACTAGTAAAGGAACAGGGATATCCAGTTTTAAAGGAAGGTTTGCATGGTTTTGTTTCAAACTAGAGAAACATAAAACTGTGTGATCTTTGATATGTGGAAATGTGTGTGTGAGGGGAGGTGAGAAATATATCAATTTAAAGTCAACTTAACACCATGAATGTAATCACAAAAGAAGGCAAAAGCTTAACAGAATGAAAGAAAACAAAGAGGTGGTGCAACTGAGAGGAAGAAGAAGTGGTAACAGAGGAAGAGAAGAAGTTTCTATTTGTCTCAGCAGATGCAGTCATAAGTTTAAATGCACATCAAGCCACTGTGTACTAAGTACTAATACATACACTCATTTTTCAGAAGCACAATACAAAAAAGGCATGTTTTGTAGTAGAAACTTAAAATAGAAAGAACATTAGGCAAGTACAAAGAATAAATACAATTAAAGAATATACTTAAATAACACTTCCAATACCATCACATTGTACTTACAGAGAAGGAAATCTTAATATGGCAGTAGTTCCAAGAAGTGAATTTATCTAGCCTGTAGACTCAAGTTTAGCCATAGAGGCTGAGTCTTAGATAGTCTTATTGTTCCCATTATGCTTAAAAAGCCCAAATCTATGTATATATCAGATCCAACTGTAACTTGGCACAATACAGTGAGACAAAGGCAAACCAAGAGGATTTTACTGCACATTTTTACGCTGGAGTTTTGTGAATGTCAGTCGTGTTGGATTGAGGTGACCTGAGGAGAGTAAATTGTCATTCCCCATCCTGTCAAAGATCAGCTTCGCTGTCCTGTGTGCGTTAATCACACCGAGCCCCTAATATATGACGAACATCAGTATCACAACCACACAAAGTGTTGTGTGAAATGTCAGATCATTTCAGGTTATTCTGGATAGGGGAAAATGCTTTGGACAAGCCTTGGGCCTATGCAGCCCTCACAGGGAGGAGTCCTGTGTCCTGAGCCTTTTCAACTGATACATAAGGAGCTGCCCAACTGCTTAAAACAGGTGCACTAAAGATATATTCCACCGTCTCAACCTATGCAAATCATCGAAATTATTTGTATTAACAGCATATCTTGATATAAGACTTAGTAGGCCTCGCCACCTCCATCTCTTCCCTTTTATTTCCCCCAGTTCTTTGCTACTGAGACTTCATTTTCTCTTCCTCGCTCTCAAACCGCCAGCGTTCAGTGCACCACAGTGTGCACGCGACGTGCCCCAGTGCATGACGCTCCACCAATCAGAGGTCGCCATTCCGAAAGTTTACCTTTTATGGCGAGAGCCGGGCAGCTGACGCACTATATAAGAGAAGTGCCCACGGCCAACGAATTCACTCTGAGCGCCGTCACACACAGCTTGTGCGGGATATCATTTGCCTGAAACCGGTTCCCTTTAAGCGAAAAGCCCCCCACCCAAAGGTAAGTCGATTAATAATAAGAATGTACATGTATCTAATTTAATAATGACGACCTCTTAAACAATAAGTGTGCTATTTTTTTTCGTTATACCTGTTCCTTTAATGGGGAAAAAAAAAATCAATGACGAACTAGAGGTGCTTTGTTCGGCTAAATACGACGTCTGATTATGATTCAGCTTATTGTTTAATAAGGGCCTGTAGTTTTTATTGGCTCACGAATATCAGGTGCTACAAATGTCTGCTGCGATTCGCCGGTGTTCTGTTGGGCAACCGGTTTACAGTTAACGTTGCCTTTTTTAAAAGTGAATTCTTCCTCGCGAAGATGCAGTGTCGACGCTTAACCAACGTTTAGTCGTGGACGGTATCCTGTCCTTGCAGGAGTTTGGGGCTTCAAGTTGGGTTTGTCTGGACCCCGGCTCCCTTTGTGCGCACGATGCGGTGGGGTGTGACCTACTTTAGCCTGTTAGCCTAGCCGAACCATGCTAACACGCCCTTCACTGCTAACGGTTAATGGCTTTTATTTGATCTTTTTGGTTAGTCGTGTGGGGAATTCTGAGATTCACTAGTCTTAAAAGCTGTTTTTCCTTCAAGCCACAATCCAAAAGGGCGATAAGATTTATTGAGAGGCACAATTTAATGTTTAATGAAAAGTCCAAATCTCTTTTTTGAAGTTGCCCTGCCAGTTTAAGACGAAAGAAGCAAATTGCGATTGGCAAATCATTCATCGCCTGAAAAGGCGTGGCTTTCAGGAAATGGTTAATCTATCATGGACTCTAAACCATTCATGACGGGTGGGGGGGAGCGGGGGAAACTTCATCATGCAATTTGACGTTAAGACCAAACGTTCCTAAAAAAAAAAAAAAAAGTCTAAATAGGCACATGGTCAGTGAACGCCTTGGTCAAAAGAATGACGCAGTGGTATTGAAGCAAAGATTTGATGGGTATTGGGCAACAATGGGAGGGGGGAAGTTAACTTGTAGCGAGCCGGAGGGAGTGGTCTCGTCGAGCCGGGTCTGATCATGTCGAACGTTCCTCTTTCTTGCTGTACTCTGGCCGCGCGCCACAGCGCCGGTAGCCGCAAAGCTGCTCAAAACCGAAGCATGTCCTTATATGGTAACAACAGAATGCCGCACCACTTCCTTTTGTCTGGCTTGCTCGGAATGTGGGACTCGAGCTCCACCTAGCGGCCAAGTTGGCGCACTGCTTTTGTTAAGACAGGAAGTGAGAGCCGGGTGTGGAACAGCTGCTGATGATGGGTAGAAGTGTGACTTGCCTGCTAGTTAAAAGTTTTTAACAAGTTTTTTTCTTTTCTTTTGACAGTTCAGCCATGGAAGATGAAATCGCCGCACTGGTTGTTGACAACGGATCTGGTATGTGCAAAGCCGGATTCGCTGGAGATGACGCCCCTCGAGCTGTCTTCCCCTCCATCGTTGGTCGCCCCAGGCATCAGGTTGGTGCTGAGCTCTAAATATATACTTAATTTTAAAAAATGTTTACAGCATAAATGTATTCTCATTGGACCCTCACTTAAAATGGTGCCTTGCTATATAACAGACTTGCATGTAGTTATTTAAAATGCACCGAGGCCATGTCTTTAAGGTTAAAAGAACCGATTACTGGTGTAGAATGTTTACTAAAACCATGTTTATTGCAATAGTGCATCTTTTTTTTAGCAAGTAAATTAATCAAATCCACTGTCTTCAGGGAGTGATGGTGGGCATGGGCCAGAAGGACAGCTACGTAGGTGATGAAGCTCAGAGCAAGAGGGGTATCCTGACCCTCAAGTACCCCATTGAGCACGGTATTGTGACCAACTGGGATGACATGGAGAAGATCTGGCATCACACCTTCTACAATGAGCTGAGAGTTGCCCCTGAGGAGCACCCCGTCCTGCTCACAGAGGCCCCTCTGAACCCCAAAGCCAACAGGGAGAAGATGACCCAGGTATAATCCCAGAAGCATACGAGGCTGTTACCCTGCCATCTCCTTGGTTTCCTTTCCCATTTTCACTTCCTCATTCCTCCCCTCTTCCTCCAGGACCCCTCCTCTATAAGATGATCTTTCATCAACAGGTCTCATGACTGTGTGCCTATCTGCACTTGTGTCTCTAGCAGAGCTAGCATATACGCACTTGATGATGTAATGAACTTGACATGCACTAGTGTGAAGGAATGTTGACATTCTGCACATTTTTCCACTAACTTCAGTCTGAGCCTCACATTAATGCATGTAGAGTGCAGTGGGTACAAAATCCAGTGAGTTTGTTTTTAAACGTACTCATGTGTTTGTGTGCTTCTCCTTACAGATCATGTTCGAGACCTTCAACACCCCAGCCATGTACGTTGCCATCCAGGCTGTGCTGTCCCTCTACGCCTCTGGTCGTACCACTGGTATTGTCATGGACTCCGGTGATGGTGTGACCCACACAGTGCCCATCTACGAGGGTTATGCCCTGCCCCACGCCATCCTGCGTCTGGACTTGGCCGGCCGCGACCTCACAGACTACCTCATGAAGATCCTGACAGAGCGTGGTTACTCCTTCACCACCACAGCCGAGAGGGAAATCGTGCGTGACATCAAAGAGAAGCTGTGCTATGTCGCCCTGGACTTCGAGCAGGAGATGGGCACCGCTGCCTCCTCTTCCTCCCTGGAGAAGAGTTACGAGCTGCCCGACGGTCAGGTCATCACCATCGGCAATGAGAGGTTCCGTTGCCCAGAGGCCCTCTTCCAGCCTTCCTTCCTTGGTATGTACCCCTATTTGGAAGCTAATGTTGCTATCCTTCTGTCTCTAAAGTTGAGACCTTATAACTGCGTAGACATTGGCTGACTAATGTCTCTGCTCTCAGGTATGGAGTCCTGCGGAATCCACGAGACCACCTACAACAGCATCATGAAGTGCGACGTTGACATCCGTAAGGACCTGTACGCCAACACCGTGCTGTCTGGAGGTACCACCATGTACCCCGGCATCGCCGACAGGATGCAGAAGGAGATCACAGCCCTGGCCCCATCCACAATGAAGATCAAGGTGAGATGACTTTCTGCGCAGCAGTTTGCCCGACTGATGTGCTGGTGATCTGCTCTGAAGCCCATTTAACACTGCTCCTCTTCCCACAGATCATTGCTCCACCAGAGCGTAAATACTCTGTCTGGATCGGAGGCTCCATCCTGGCCTCCCTGTCCACCTTCCAGCAGATGTGGATCAGCAAGCAGGAGTACGATGAGTCTGGCCCCTCCATCGTCCACCGCAAATGCTTCTAAACAGACTGTTCCTCCTCCCCAACCAAACACCCAACAACTTCAGCTCTGTGCAAAACGACCACACCACACATTTCTCATACACACTTGGGCGCAGAGCCTAGATGACCAACTCATTGGCATGGCTTCAGTTATTTTTGGCGCTTGACTCAGGATTTAAAAAAAAAAAAAAAAAAAAAAACTGGAACGGTAAAGGAGACGGTAATGTTTTTTTGGCTAGGTTAAAACACCCCAGGCTCTGCAGTTGCATCTGGGGACTTAAAATGTACATTTTGTTTTTTCTTTGAGTCATTCCAAATGTTTAACTGCATTGTTCGACACATGGTTCCAAATGTTAACTGCATTGTTCAGACACATATTTGCCTCTGTGAAGGCTGCCCAGTGGTTGGCGCATACTTAAACATGGTTGTAGTATCGCTTGTATGTAAATTATGTCTGGGTTTTTTGTACTTTCAGCCTTAAAAATATCTTGGTCCTGTTTAATTTTCTTTTTTTTTTTCTTTTTTTTTTTTTTGTTATGCAAAAACCCAACTGTGACCTTCTTCCCCCTGTTGGAGGTTTCATCCCTGGGTGGTGGGGCAAGGGGTCCTGAAATGATGGGGTAACATGGGGTGCCAGACCAGTGGGGCCAACCTGTACACTGACTAAATCCCAATAAAGTGCACATGTGTTCCGACATGTTTGACTGTTTGCCTTTTCTGCTCGTGAATTTTTCTTTTTACTAAACACTGAAATGTTAACTGTCCTGCATTAACACATTCACACCGTAATGCGTTAAACGGGAAACTAAACATCTTTCCGTTGTCTAGAAATGCCCTTTAATCATGCCTTTATTCCCCCTTCCATTTTGAGCAGTCGCTCTCATTTGATGCAATTTCTAAATATGCTGGTCTTCAATGTTTTGATTGGACCAGAATGTTAACCCATGTTGCTTCATGGGTTGCCTGTAATTATCAAACTTGTCATTTCTATGCCCTCAAACAGAAGCAGTAACTAAACCCCATTTTCTCTAAAGGGCTGCCTCTCCCTGTCTGAGCCATCAGGTGTGGCTTTGTCCCTTAAACGGAGCAGCCAGAGCTGCAGTGAGCTGGTGAAGCTAAGGCAGCTGGCTACCTGTGCAGGCTCTGCTCCACATAACTGAGGCGGCATAATGAAGTATATCTGCATGTCTCCTGCCCTGTGCCCGAGGGTTTGTTGACCACTTTGCTCTTGTCTTAAGCTGGCAGAGTGCTGTCCAGTCTGAAAAGGCTGAATCCGGTCAGTCACATGCAGACTGACCTCAGGTTGGTCGTGAAATGTACTGTAAAAACATAAATCTAAATGTTTTAAGGCCCTCTTCAAAGTGGGATTTGACTATGCTTTGTGTGAATTCCCTCAAGAGTCCTTAGGCCTGGATTTTACAGTGGTTCCACAGTTTGGACAACAGAGGGTGGTAAAGTCACAAAAACTACGATGCTTCATCCCCAGGTGTTCTCAGCGGATGCGTATCCATAACAACTTGGAAGAGCCAGGTGTGCGTTATGGAGCCTCCTGTCTTTAACTGATTTAATCCGATTCATGCTATTAGTCTGGAAGTTCAAGTAACTGAAATCCAGGTTGGGAGGGTTAAAATAAAAATGTTAGATACAAATGTGTTTCCTGTGCTCTTTCAAAAATGGATTTCCACATTTGTGTTAGAGTTTAAAGGAAATTGGGCAGATATGTGGGGTGGATGGATGGAGCAGCACCGGTGCTCAGCATCACACCCTGTGTGTGTGTGTGTGTGTGTGTGTGTGTGTGTGTGACAGAACAAACCCACAGCTGATCAAAGCCATGCTGCCTCCATTTATCAGCATGTCCTACTTACATGCAGCACTCTGGTCTGATAGATATGGCTGTGGGCACACACTAGCCTACAAAAGAGGGGGCTTGCATTGATTGAAAACGAATCGACGGTGGGGCATTCATGAGCACACGTTGAGGGTGGAGTGTGTTTGGTATCGGTCATTTATCCCATCTCACTGCAGCTCCCAGCGGCCACCACACCCCTGCGATTCTGCTGAGACTGCTTCACTCTGATATCCTTTTACTGCCAAGCCAGCAAAACACACCCACCGTGATGGAAACGGTACTTGGCGTAGTGTGTACTTGTAGTGGAGTGCGCAAGATGTGATCACAGTCTTTTTCTGTGCTTGTCCAGGTCTGTGTAAAAGGAAAGACCTCCAACCACTGTGGGTTAAAAACATAAACTATCTGTATATATATATGTGTGTGTGTCTGTGTATTCAAAGCCTCTCTAGAGTGAATTGAGAGCGATTTGTCAGAAGACTGGACGTGCTGTGGTCCGCCATTTACCACATCTGTGCAGATGCTGACCATAGCCGCCCGCCCTGTAGTTCCACTCTCAGACCAGCAGAGGGAGCTGCTGCATTATTTGAAACTCGACGGGCAAACTGGGTAAAAGGCACATAGAGGACTTACTCGCTGCTGGCAGAAGGGGGCTAAAATAGAGAAATAGATCATGTTAATGCAGCAGATCCTCTTTTTGGAAAGTCTCAGAGTGACTTTCACTCCACGGAAGCTATTAGCTTGTAATAGAACCGACATCACGGTTACACAAGCGACATTACTGACTATAAAAATGTACCACGAGGCTGAGCATCTCCCCTTTATGAGTCTGATAAGATATGAATTTTCGTTATTGTTATTATTATTATTATTGTTCTACAGCTCTGACACATCCCAGATGAACTGTTGCCCGGCAGGGTGCGTCTGTTGCATCAGTCTTCCTCCATGGCTGCGGCAAACCCCGGGTAGGCTTTCTCAAGAAAAAAAGCCCACGATTTGTCAGAGCTCTAACTGCATGAGTCAGGAACAAGTACATAAAAATACACGACCTGTGCTCTGCAAGCGTGCTCCGAGAGCCCTCAGTGCACGGGTGTGTGCCCCCCCCTGCCTCTTATCATCGCGTTTGCGTAATTTTCATCCATGCATTTTGCGGAGCGTTTTGGCTCCTGCCTGAGAGGTGGTGTGAGGGGTCGTAAGGCTGTTGTAAAGCCAACACGCGGGATCTCATATGCGTCCAAACGCGTTACAACCACCGCCCGGAAAAACCACTTGCTGGAGGAGAAATCTCATCTTAGTGGCTGCGCTCTCATGTCAGAGCGTTTTTCATGCTTGTCAGGGCAGCAGCAGTTCTACAGCCAGCTGCCTGTCCCCCCCAGCGGAAAGCTCCTGACCCCATCCCCCCCCCCCCCCC